TGTATGTTGATCCAGGGTCCATTCTTTAATGAGTTCTTCTTCAGCGCCTTCTACATTTTCCTTTTGTTTTAACTTTCCTCTGACAATATTTATTCTGGCACATTTTTCCAAACCAAATTTCATGTTGATGTCAGAGGAAAAGGTTTGAACCGTCCGTAACATTTTCTTTAGTTCTTCTTCGCTCTTCGCATATATCTTCAGGTCATCCATGTATAACATATGGGTGATTTTCCTGCCTCCCGGTACCAACTGATATCCTTGATTTATTATTATTATTATTATTATTATTATTATTATTATTATTATTATTATTATTATTATTATTATTTAACTCAAAGGAATGATTTTCAATTTTAAATCAATGCCGAATTCAATATTAATTTTTTTGTCTCTCACGATTTCTTTTCAAAAAAAAAAAATATTTTTGTTATTACGTAATATTTGGGCGGTTTTCCTTCGTTTCATGTCTTTACCAAATAATTCAAATGGGAACCTTTTTTATACATGAAAGGATTATTATTATTATTATTATTATTATAATAGCCTTTTTTGTTGTAAGGGATATAAAATTATTTTTTCTCTTTTTTTGATTTGTAACTCGTATTTGAAACTCAATTTTTTGTTTTTGGTATTATTAATCATTTTAGCAATCTGATCTGGTTTGATCAGTTTTATTAAAATCGATTATTTTAAGTAACTGTTTTTTTTTTTAATAAAATAAAATAAATTCTTATTGATAGGAGAAGATTTTCAAGGTCACACGTGTGGTTCAATCTTAAATTTTATATGAATTTTTTTCCTTTGAATGAAAATTTTAAGGTTTAAGTTTTGTTAATTTATCGAACCTTTTTTTTTTTAATACCTATTTAATTTTTTTTTTTTTTTTTTTTTTTTTTTTTGTTTTCGAGGAAAAGGTATTGACATTTTCAATGACGTATAAACGTGTTTTTAAGTTTTTTTTTGTGTTTTTCTTGAATTTTTTAAAAATATTTAAAATTATAGAGTAATCCGATATCGTTTACACTTTTATTTATTTATTTTATTTTTTTGCAGAGTTTTAATTTTTAAAAAAATTTAAAAAATTTATAAAATTTAAGAATTAGTATTAACATGACAATTTAGAGAATGTTCGTTTTTATATAATTTTAATTTTAATTTTTTTTTTTTTTTTTCCTTTTGGGCGTCAACTTGGTGTGATAATGAATGATTTATCACACTCCATGTTTTATATATATTCAATGTCGATGATTTCCCTACATATATATTAAGTTTTATCTTGCTTCGTTTTTATTTTTTATTATTATTAATAT